GCATACCGCGAGTGGGTGTTGTGACGAGGTGTCCGCGGACTCACCACACTCGTGTCATACTGGGCAACGGTTTCCCGACGCGCAATTTGACACAGATACTTAACAAAGCACCCGTGCCCGGTAAGCATACTGCGTCAACCTGAACGTCCAGGACTCCGTTTGGCCGCCTTGACCCAGCGCGACAGGAACGGACGAACCGCCCCCACCGTCGCCCGGCCAGCCGCTGGATCCCCCAGGTCTTCCCCCCAGCGCCGTGATCAGTGCCTCGTCATCTAGGCGCCTGATCCGAGCTACTTCCCCCCGCGCTGGACGTTCCCCTCTGCGCCCGCTCACTCTCGCCGAAACCGATAGACTTTCGGCGATGCAACCTCTGGACACACCTCCGCCCTGGAGTTCCCAGGGCGGAATCGCCCGCCAGAAGTGTCTGCCGGCCCTGGTGAAGGGACCACCGTACGGTATCCCCGTATCGCCTCTCAACCTGCCAGGACCCGTTGCGCTCTTGCGCAGTTTGGCCCTGTTTCTGTGCGGGAGAGGGCGTCCCTCCTACACTGGGGGCACCGTACAGTGCCATGGGACCCTCACGATGCCGGCATAGAGCCGCCGGCAGTGAGATCCAGGGCCCCCGACATTCGGCAGAAGGTCTGCCGAGGCCGAGGCGGCCCGCCGATCAGTCCTCGGGGTCGGAGCTGTGGCGAAATGGACACGAAACGTCCAGCGTCCGTCCAGGGTCAGGCTTCAAGTAGCGCATATGGGCCCTGAACCTCCACCACCTACCCTGGACTCGCAGACAGGCCGTTGCGGGGGGCACCCCTGCGTGGGCACATGAAACAGGAGGGCCTCCGTTTTGGAGACGGAGACCCTCAGGCCGCAGCATCCCTATCCGGTCGGGCGACCAGGGTGTGGCCGACTGTGGGCCAAAGCGTGGCCGCCTCCTCGTAAGTAACGCCCCCGGGCTGTGACGAGGGTGTCATCAGCGTAGGGCGATGACACCGAGCCCGGGGAGAAGCGGACAACGGACATGAGCCAGGTCATAGCCGAGGTTCCACAGTACCGGGCCCAAAAACGGCCCCTTGTGGAAACCCCCGCAGTCGCCACGCCGCCGACCGACCATCCCCATCTGCCCCCCGTTCCACACACGACCTGTCTTGTCGCGGAGGTATGCGTCCAACACCCGCCGGAGATAGAGAGGCACCCCATGGTACCGAAGTGCCTCTCGTAGCGTCTCGAACGGCAGGGTTGTTTGAAGGCCGTTGGCCACATCCAATAAGACGGCTAACAGCACGCCCTCCCTCCTCCACCGCGGACAAGGACCGAACCTTCAGGGCGTTCAGGGCGTTCCACGGTTTCGACCGACCCGCCCTGAACCCGAACTGAGGGACCTCCGAAAGGGCCCGGCCCCACCTCCTCGAGATGCTGAGTAAGACGGGCAACGAGAATTCTCCCTCTGAAGAGCTTGCCCATTCTCACCTTCATGCATCACGATCGGCCCTTGTATGCCGGACAAAGGGGATGTCCAGAGGACGGACCCTCCTTGGGCAACAGGCACAGTCAACCCCCTCCTTCCAGATCTTCGGGAACTGCCCAACGCGAAAGACAAGCGTTTGAAGAGGTCCCGAAGATCCCCTCCCAGGTATTTTCCCAGGGGCGATGCAACAGAACTCGGCCCCGGTTAAATACCGTCCTGGTCCCGGGAGCCGTCCTCCTGGCGCCGCAGTTTATCGCCGTCCAATTCCATCTCCCCCTCGGTGATTGGGGGGAATTCCTCCACTCCCACAGAGCGTGTGGGAGGAGCCATCCACCGGGGGGGGACGTGCCCAGTACGACTCCGGGAACAACCCTCCGATCTAGTCGCAGGAGGACCTCGGGCGGTCGTGGTCTCCTTGACCGGGGCCGCCTATGCGCGCGGAGCTTGTTCCGCGCGCTGATGTAAGCGGCGCCCCCATGGATCCCGATCCAGGCCCGCCAGCATTTCCTGGCGGGCCGCCGCCTGTGGCCTGGCTGTATGGCGAGCTGCAGGGCCTTTTTTGGCCGACCTGATAGGCCGCCCGCAGCTCGCTCTCCAAAACCGGGTCCCAGGCCATTCCTCCTGCGGAACACCCGGACAAACCTCCGTCCTATGCCAATTACAGGTCGCCCGAAGCTGTGCGATTTCGGCGCGACCACCAATTACACAGACCGGCGACGCCGGTCGATCCGCCCTGATCCGCGGCATGGCCGCATTGCACACCCTTGTAAAGGGCGTGCGGACATGCGGCCAGCCAGCTCCTCAACATTGGAAAAGGCTGGCGGTCCGCACCACACTCCCCTGGGAGCACCATGCCTCTCAATATGGGGCCGCCTCCTTGGCCAGACTCTTAGTATCAAGCCGGCCCAGGGCCCATCTTCGGGGGGAACGCTCGAGAAGGGCGCCCCTTGGGGCGGTCACACCGGCCACCGCGACGGGTGGCGATCTACGAATCGGATATAATTATGATCCGACAGAGTCTCCCACCTCCTCCTCTAACCCTCCAGTTGATCACCCTGCGTGCGACGGCGGGGGTGGCGAACGTTAGGTCCACCACGGACCCCCCCTGCTGTCGCAACGCACGTGAACGCTGTCCCCACCCTTGAGTTAGGGACAGACCGGAGAGTAGGGCCCACGTTCTGAACGGCTCGCCCTCGAGCGTTTTCGACGTGGTGATTCCCCCAGGCCAAGGACCTTGGCATTGAAAGTCGCCGAGGACGATAGTGGGCCTCGGCGGGACTGCCTGCAAACCGCAGCGCGGGACGGAGTCGATGAAGGATCTCGAAACTCCGCCAGACTGCGGGGGGGGCCGGTTGGGAGGAGAAGTACACGGCGACCACCCGCAGTACTACTCCCCACCCTGCCACGACAAGTCCCTTGGACCCTCTCGATTTGCCGAGAAGACGGGGGCCGGTGCTGCTTCCCAGACACTATGGCCGAACCGGAGCCCTCTAAGTCCCCCACCCAGTTCGGTTGGTTGAGGGACGAAGTAGGGCTCACCGGCCACCGCCAGATCCTCATCTCCCACTCGGCCATGGGGACTGCAGGAAAAGGTCCTCCGCTTCGCGGCCGAGTGGTTTCAGATTCCCTTGTAGGAAGCGCTTATGTCGTCACCCATTATGACGACATATGCGCTTCCTCAGCCTGGCGGCTTCCGGCACTGACGACGGCCTTCCGGTCCCTAGAGCCGTCCCTTGGCCTTTCGCGATGGGTGGGTTGCAGTCTCGCCCACCCATCATATGCCCTCAGAGGTGGGCGGCCCAGCATCCGCGCAGGACCGCGCAGCGGACTGCCTTCGCGGTGCAGGCAGCGGAAAATGGTGCTCATCGCTGCCGCACTCGGAAACACAGGCGCCCCCTTTCCAACCCTCTACGGGCAACGAGGTAGGGTATGACCCAAACCCATGCATCTGAAGCAGCGTAATGGGCGCTGTCTCCAGAACCTCGACCTTGGCCGAACGACCACCCCGACCAGGAAGTCGGCTTGCGTCGGCCACCTTTTTGGCTGCCGTAACTGGGCACCTTACGACCAGCCCCGTGCCCATCCCCCCTTTCCCGGTGTGGACCCGGCCTCACCCCAGACGGCCCTCTGATGCAGCAGCCGCCCCGCCCCCCTTGCGACCCTGCCTCGGCCACCGCCTCCTTGGTGGACCGGAGTCGTCGAGGCCCCAACACCCTCAACATCTCTCCGTTTTGGTGGGGCGCGCAATGGTCGCCACCCCATCCAAAACCTGGCGGAGCTTCTCCGCCAGCCTGTCCGCTGTCTCCGGTGACGCCGAGGCTTCGAGCTCCAGCAAACGTGCCCCCGTTGCCGCAACCCTGACCGTCAGACCCTCAGTAACCCCCAACTTGGACAGGTCAACACCCTGCCGCGCACGCTCCAGCAGCTTGGCGTAGGTGGACGCCTTTGAAGCGCCGCCTCCTGCTGGAGCGTTTATAATAACCCGCCGTCTGTACGCGGGGCGGGGCCGCACCTTGGGCTTTAGCCGGCGCCGAAGGGGCCTTTTCCGCCACAGGGGCCTTTGGGCCGCGAAGAGGAGCCCTTTGGCGCCGACTTTGCGCCTAGCCGGGCAGCAGCCGGGGCCGCTGGGGGGAGGACTTCTTCCCCCTTCCCTTTGCCCTTGCGGACTCACCGTTCGCCCACGTGTCGTATCACCGGCAGTACTCAGGTCCCAGCCACAGGGGCCGGGGGAGCTGGTCCCGCCACAGGGGCTGTTGGAGCTAGGCTCCGACCTAGGGCGCACCGGGGCTGCCGTTCCCATCCACATTTGGGCTGACGCCTGCCGCGTCGCCGAACCCTCCGGCCCAGCCACAGCCCGCTACCGGTGCTGGCGTGCTCTGAGGCACCCTCGGCGCGTAGGCTATAGGTGCAGATGCAAGCCTGCCCTCCCGTTCTTCTGTCCGCTGCCAGAGGCGGGGACGATGCGACCTGGCCGTCAGCAGGACGTTCCTCGAATGCCAGGCCAGTTTGGCATCCATAGAGGGCCCCAACCGAGGAGATAAGAGAGGCCCTCAACTCCTCTAAAACATCCCCACTGCAGGGAGGAGGACGGAGCACTCCAGCCCCTCATCTCCGAGAACTGTCGACCGGTGCGCCTTAACCTCCGCCTTCAGGTTCTCCACCTCCTTGCGCAGCCGCTCATTGTCGGCAGCCACCTTCCTCGTCTCCTCATTCGAGGAAGCGATCCCGCCAGGGCGTCCACTATCCCCGTCAGGGCCTCAGCAGCCAGCTTCAGACGGGCGGAACATATTCCCCCCCTTCAGGGGTTGGCCAGAGGTCCTGGCAACATGGAGAAGAATCTCGGTTCACGCTGCGTCCCCCCCCCCCCCCCCCCCCCCTGCTTCCGCTCTCCCGACCCTGCACCATCTTCTAGGCCAGAGATGCCTTCCCTCCCGGCTACTCAGAGGCCGACAAATCCGAGCCGAACTCGGGGAAAACGGCCTTCCCCGCCTTATCCGCCTTTTCTAGGACTTCTTCCGAAAAAGCGCGTCGCCTCAAGCGCGCGCTTCAAGACTCCCGCTCTCTGGGGGACCTCAGCCGTCCATATTGCGCAATTTGCTGCGCTGCCGGCACGGGTCAAGCCCGTTCCCCCTCCCAGATCCATGGGCCTCCCCCTTCGTCGGCCTTATTTTCCTTCGCGCGTACTTCGCTCTGTCGGTCTCCGTTTCCGAGCTGTAGAGCCCGCTAACTGGAGGAACGCGCAGGGCCGTTCCTCTTGCGCCCAATGGGAACGCATCTGTGTCCGCGCTGGCGTCTGAGTCAAGCCAATGACTCATTCGCCAACCGCACACACTCGCACACACACAAACGACGCGACAAATGTCGCCCAAAAACAACAAAAATCCAAACCAAAATCAAAAAAAAAATCCAAAAATCCGTGAGAAAAGCCAAAAAGTCAAAAACATTGTAGTGCAAGAATCGAAGTCCAAATAGTCAAAGCCAGATCAAAAAACAATCCAAAACACTCGAAAAAGAACCCGTTAACTCTTTGCGCTTGCAACCTAACCCAAACCAAAAAAAAAAACAACATATATATAATCGATCGTCGTTGTGTAAATTGATATACATGAAGTACTATATCTAATAACTCATTGGAATATTTTTCGCCAAACCTAACCCAAACCAAAAAAAAAACAATATATATATAATCGATCGTCGTTGTGTAAATTGATATACATGAAGTAATAATATCTAATAACTCATTGGAATATTTTTCGCCAAACCTAACCCAAACCAAAAAAAAAACAATATATATATAATCGATCGTCGTTGTGTAAATTGATATACATGAAGTAATAATATCTAATAACTCATTGGAATATTTTTCGCCAAACCTAACCCAAACCAAAAAAATATTATATAATCGATCGTCGTTGTGTAAATTGATATACATGAAGTAATAATATCTAATAACTCATTGGAATATTTTTCGCCAAACCTAACCCAAACCAAAAAAAAAAACATATATATATAATCGATCGTCGTTGTGTAAATTAATATACATGAAGTAATAATATCTAATAACTCATTGGAATATTTTTCGCCAAACCTAACCCAAACCAAAAAAAAAAACTATATATATATAATCGATCGTCGTTGTGTAAATTGATATACATGAAGTAATAATATCTAATAACTCATTGGAATATTTTTCGCCAAACCTAACCCAAACCAAAAAAAAAACAATATATATATAATCGATCGTCGTTGTGTAAATTGATATACATGAAGTAATAATATCTAATAACTCATTGGAATATTTTTCGCCAAACCTAACCCAAACCAAAAAAAAAAAACAATATATATATATAATCGATCGTCGTTGTGTAAATTGATATACATGAAGTACTAATATCTAATAACTCATTGGAATATTTTTCGCCAAACCTAACCCAAACCAAAAAAAAACAATATATATATAATCGATCGTCGTTGTGTAAATTGATATACATGAAGTAATAATATCTAATAACTCATTGGAATATTTTTCGCCAAACCTAACCCAAACCAAAAAAAAAAAAACAATATATATATAATCGATCGTCGTTGTGTAAATTAATATACATGAAGTAATAATATCTTGTAACTCATTGGAATATTTTTCGCCAAACCTAACCCAAACCAAAAAAAAAAAAACAATATATATAATCGATCGTCGTTGTGTAAATTGATATACATGAAGTAATAATATCTAATAACTCATTGGAATATTTTTCGCCAAACCTAACCCAAACCAAAAAAAAAAACAATATATATATATAATCGATCGTCGTTGTGTAAATTGATATACATGAAGTACTAATATCTAATAACTCATTGGAATATTTTTCGCCAAACCTAACCCAAACCAAAAAAAAAACAATATATATATAATCGATCGTCGTTGTGTAAATTGATATACATGAAGTAATAATATCTAAAAACTCATTGAAATATTTTTCGCCAAACCTAACCCAAACCAAAAAAAAAACATATATATATAATCGATCGTCGTTGTGTAAATTGATATACATGAAGTAATAATATCTAATAACTCATTGGAATATTTTTCGCCAAACCTAACCCAAACCAAAAAAAAAACAATATATATATAATCGATCGTCGTTGTGTAAATTGATATACATGAAGTAATAATATCTAATAACTCATTGGAATATTTTTCGCCAAACCTAACCCAAACCAAAAAAAAACAATATATATATATATAATCGATCGTCGTTGTGTAAAATAATATACATGAAGTAATAATATCTAATAACTCATTGGAATATTTTTCGCCAAACCTAACACAAACCAAAAAAAAACAATATATATATAATCGATCGTCGTTGTGTAAATTGATATACATGAAGTAATAATATCTAATAACTCATTGGAATATTTTTAGCCAAACCTAACCCAAACCAAAAAAATAAAAAAAACAATATATATATAATCGATCGTTGTTGTGTAAATTAATATACATGAAGTAATAATATCTAATAACTCATTGGAATATTTTTCGCCAAACCTAACCCAAACCAAAAAAAAAAACAATATATATAATCGATCGTCGTTGTGTAAATTGATATACATGAAGTAATAATATCTAATAACTCATTGGAATATTTTTCGCCAAACCTAACCCAAACCAAAAAAAAAACAATATATATATATAATCGATCGTCGTTGTGTAAATTGATATACATGAAGTAATAATATCTAATAACTCATTGGAATATTTTTCGCCAAACCTAACCCAAACCAAAAAAAAAAAACAATATATATATAATCGATCGTCGTTGTGTAAATTGATATACATGAAGTACTAATATCTAATAACTCATTGGAATATTTTTCGCCAAACCTAACCCAAACCAAAAAAAAAACAATATATATATAATCGATCGTCGTTGTGTAAATTGATATACATGAAGTAATAATATCTAATAACTCATTGGAATATTTTTCGCCAAACCTAACCCAAACCAAAAAAAAACAATATATATATATAATCGATCGTCGTTGTGTAAATTGATATACATGAAGTAATAATATCTAATAACTCATTGGAATATTTTTCGCCAAACCTAACCCAAACAAAAAAAAAACAATATATATATAATCGATCGTCGTTGTGTAAATTGATATACATGAAGTAATAATATCTAATAACTCATTGGAATATTTTTCGCCAAACCTAACCCAAACCAAAAAAAAAAACAATATATATATAATCGATCGTCGTTGTGTAAATTGATATACATGAAGTACTAATATCTAATAACTCATTGGAATATTTTTCGCCAAACCTAACCCAAACCAAAAAAAAAACAATATATATATAATCGATCGTCGTTGTGTAAATTGATATACATGAAGTAATAATATCTAATAACTCATTGGAATATTTTTCGCCAAACCTAACACAAACCAAAAAAAAATATATATATATATAATCGATCGTCGTTGTGTAAATTGATATACATGAAGTAATAATATCTAATAACTCATTGGAATATTTTTAGCCAAACCTAACCCAAACCAAAAAAAAAACAATATATATATAATCGTTCGTCGTTGTGTAAATTGATATACATGAAGTAATAATATCTAATAACTCATTGGAATATTTTTCGCCAAACCTAACCCAAACCAAAAAAAAAACAATATATATAATCGATCGTCGTTGTGTAAATTGATATACATGAAGTAATAATATCTAATAACTCATTGGAATATTTTTCGCCAAACCTAACCCAAACCCAAAAAAAACAATATATATATAATCGATCGTCGTTGTGTAAATTGATATACATGAAGTAATATCTAATAACTCATTGGAATATTTTTCGCCAAACCTAACCCAAACCAAAAAAAAAAACAATATATATATAATCGATCGTCGTTGTGTAAATTGATATACATGAAGTAATAATATCTAATAACTCATTGGAATATTTTTCGCCAAACCTAACCCAAACCAAAAAAAAAACAATATATATATAATCGATCGTCGTTGTGTAAATTGATATACATGAAGTACTAATATCTAATAACTCATTGGAATATTTTTCGCCAAACCTAACCCAAACCAAAAAAAAAAATATATATATATAATCGATCGTCGTTGTGTAAATTGATATACATGAAGTACTAATATCTAATAACTCATTGGATATTTTTCGCCAAACCTAACCCAAACCCAAAAAAAAACAATATATATAATCGATCGTCGTTGTGTAAATTGATATACATGAAGTAATAATATCTAATAACTCATTGGAATATTTTTCGCCAAACCTAACAAAAACCAAAAAAAAAATATATATATATAATCGATCGTCGTTGTGTAAATTGATATACATGAAGTAATAATATCTAATAACTCATTAGAATATTTTTAGCCAAACCTAACCCAAACCAAAAAAAAAAACAATATATATATAATCGATCGTCGTTGTGTAAATTGATATACATGAAGTAATAATATCTAAAAACTCATTGAAATATTTTTCGCCAAACCTAACCCAAACCAAAAAAAAAACAATATATATATAATCGATCGTCGTTGTGTAAATTGATATACATGAAGTAATAATATCTAATAACTCATTGGAATATTTTTCGCCAAACCTAACCCAAACCAAAAAAAAACAATATATATATAATCGATCGTCGTTGTGTAAATTGATATACATGAAGTAATAATATCTAATAACTCATTGGAATATTTTTCGCCAAACCTACCCAAACCCAAAAAAAAAAAAATATATATATAATCGATCGTCGTTGTGTAAATTGATATACATGAAGTAATAATATCTAATAACTCATTGGAATATTTTTCGCCAAACCTAACCCAAACCAAAAAAAAAAAAACAATATATATATAATCGATCGTCGTTGTGTAAATTGATATACATGAAGTAATAATATCTAATAACTCATTGGAATATTTTTCGCCAAACCTAACCCAAACCAAAAAAAAAACAATATATATATATAATCGATCGTCGTTGTGTAAATTGATATACATGAAGTAATAATATCTAATAACTCATTGAATATTTTAACCCAAACCAAAAAAAAAAAAAAAATAAAGAAGAATCGTCGTTGTGTAATTGGCATAACATTAATAAACTTTTGGAATATTTTAGCCAAACCTAACACAAACCAAAAAAAAACTTTAATCGATCGTCCTATGTTATAATACATGAGATAATATCTTGGTAACTAATTCTCGGAATATTTTTCTGAAACCCAAACCAAAAAA